ACAATTCATATACAAAATGAGTTATTTTTTGACAATGCATACAACAGAAGATCAGAGATTTCCGACCACTGTTTATTCTCCATACATCTTTTGCACCCTTAGTTTTAATGTGTAGCTCTGCTTTGATATGGTCGATCAAGATGAAAATTTCAGCTGTCACATCAGAAGTTACAACATGAAGGAAAAATAGTTTTTTCATCTAGTACGTAGCCGAACCGAATTAAAAACGTTAAGAGCAATTTGTAATTTCAATATTTTTTTTTATGAAAGTGAGTCTACTAAATGTCCTATGCCTAAATTCCTGCCTCAAATTCAGAATTCAGAATCTAGGTTACCTGGTAACCCTACGTACAATATAGTTGTAGAAGCTGTAAAATGAAAATTGTTAATACCTACGTACTCAATGCTCATCTGGCTAGGAGTAGTTTTTTGGATTACAGCTATTGTTTATCACCATCCCAAGAATAACTCATTGCTAATCCTCCTGAATTCTGACACCTAATAAAAGAAAACCAATTTCAAATATTAATTTTAAAAACTTTTGTACACACTTATTTACTATATTTCATACAAGATATTAGCAATTTAAATTTAGAACCAGTACATTGTAATGTAATCTAGCCATTCTTCTTCAAAACTTGCAAATTTTTCCTTGGAAGACAGTGGCAGTGAATTATTGATTTCCTTATATTGGTTCAAACTAGTGTTAACTGTATAGAAAAATCAGTACCATCTTAGGATTTTAGAAGTTATTCATCAAGATATATCAATCTTGATGTGATTGAATCTTTGTGTTTGATACTACAAAATCGTATTTCCATCTTGGTGAAATGTTTTTTTTTTCGGAGAAAATCCTGATGAAGCTATTAAAAAATGACAAAAAATTGATTTATTGAAAGTTTTTTTTTCTCTATGGCTGTTAATCTATGGTGGATTGTGATAGCAACCTTAATATTTCGTCGCCTAGCAAGCTTTGTTTTTTTGCAGATTGTACAATTGAATGATACAAATTGGTACAAAGTTCCACAAAAAGAATGAATCATCTTTATGTCAGAGACATTATCAGACTGCCTAAGTGACCATATTTGAGATATAGCTGCCCAGATTATTAAAGTAGGTAGCTAATAAAATCCTAGCATTCTATTGGCCTCAAATTTAGTGCTCTGATTACCTGATTTAGGTAGCATTAATTGTGTTCAGCAAATGTGATTGACTATATATTTCTTTTGAATGTTTCTAATGACTGTATTAGCACTACAACAGGTAAAACACTGCAACCCTGGTACTAATGGGACTTGATGTTTGATATCTAGTTCATATTTCATGTCTTAGAGACACAGACCATTTACATGTAATATTATCAGCAATCACAATAAATCTATATACAGGGTGTCCGCAAAGTTGGGGTTTTCCTTTACACGACGTGTAGATCTTGAAAACATAAGCAATTTTTCTTTGTACCATATACACCAATGTCTTAAGGGAACCGAGATAAAGGGCTCTGCAACATCAAAAATATCTGAATACTGTCCTGTAGCCGCGACCCGCCGGGATATCCCCGACTGTTACAAGGTCTTAACCCGACGACAGAACTGGGTCGGGGTCAGTGTGTCAGGTCAGTATGCAACATTCAACCGACGGTTACGGTCACGCGTGTAGAGGTAATCGCGTAGACGAGAATCCCTCAACAAGAACTAGAGACGTGGCTAGAGAAGTGCAAGTATCAAAAACTAAAGTGTGGCAAACGCTGCGTGAAGAGGGGCTGTATCCGTTTCACGTCCAACGTGTACAAGCCCTTCAACCTGACGATTTTCCAGCAAGAGTGCGGTTTTGTGAGTGGTTCTTGCATCATCATGACAATAATCCGGACTTTTTGAAGTGCATATTGGTGACAGACGAATCTACGTTCACGCGTAATGGGGTGAATAACTTTCGCAACACTCATGTTTGGTCAGAAGAAAATCCGCACGCTGTCCGTCGGTCACATTTTCAACAAACATTTTCGGTGAATGTTTGGGCTGGCATGGTGAACGGTATGCTCATTGGACCATTTATTCTCGATTGGACGGAATGCAATACCTAGACTTTTTACTCAACATTTTGCCTTCCTTGTTAGAAGATGTGCCATTAAGTGTAAGACAATCAATGTGGTTTCTGCGTCTGCTCGGTAGCGCATGAGCTGATTTCATTTTCTGTTGGAGAGGCATGATTTAGGGCAGAGACGTACTTAGCCCTTCTCGTCAACTGGAGAGTGAGTACTTTTTCCTTTATTTTTTTTACTTGGTCGCCCTCGTTTCACTACACATTACCTTTGTTATTTCAAGGGTAGTTGTTTCTGAAAAGGAAAACCCCAACTTTGCGGACACCCTGTATAGATAGTATGAAGATCACTTCAAAAAATGAATCTTTCATTCATATGACGTAATTCATTTGGAGCAACTTTAGAGAATTCTTTCAATATCTTAAAAAATGCAGAGAAACTGTGCATTCTACATCGGAGTCCGAAGTCTCTGAGGCACTGATATCATATTTTGGGTTCTTTCTAATCCTTTTGTTTTGAGATACCATATTTCCATTTGCAGATTAAATATCTAGTAGTTTTGGCTTTCTCTGCTTTTGTTTTGGCAATATAAAAATAGTTCAGCTACAGCAAATATCCAAACTCCAGCTTTCAAAATTGTTACAATCCTAAATACTAGTGAAGATAATTCATATATTTCCCAGTATTCATCAGGATCATCCTAATCATTTAATAACTTCAAAGTTTTCACCTCTACCAACATTCTACTACATCTTGTTTTATGAAGACAATAATTACTCAAATCACCATTTTCTTTGACCTTCATTTTCAACCCTACAACCAGAACATATACTATAATGCTCCAAGTAAAAATGAAAATTACTCTTATTCATTTTTCTCAAGAAAACCGTCTTTGGATGCTCTTTGTTTTACAATCAAATAATGCACGTTCAGCAAAAAATGAGAAGATAAATTCAAAGTAAAACAGATTGTTTCAATGTTAGGCATGAAATTAGTTTAAAAAATACTTTTTGATTATGGTTTACACTCAATATGTTTTTGTAATTATTTTTCTTAACATCTCAATAACATAGTGCTGAAAAGTGATTTTTCATAATATAAAAAATATCTACCTATGTCAAAAGCTATATATTAAAAATACCCATATACTTTTAATTCCAAGAAAAATAAGATGAAAGTAATCAACAAATATTGTGAAGAAAATATTTCAACAAGAATGAATTTACACATTCAACAGGTTCTATTAGAAATGGCTTAATTTTAGTGTATGCCCTATGCTTCCAAAAATACTTATTTTGATAATTTTGTGGTTTACCAACATAAATGAGTCTGCAAGTATCGAATAAATAATGAATCAATAACTTTTGAAATTGTTTAGCTTTATACTGTGAGGAATTACATCCTGGTACAATTGGTTCACAATTGTGTTAAAATACAGTAAATCCTCTTCTTCAACTTGTGTAGGTGAATAACCCTGTATGACGATTCATACCAAAGATATTTGATTCATTAGTAGCATCACATAATGTTGAAAAACATTCATTTACCATTCAAAATGAATCCATTATGGTGTAATTCAGAAATATCTTGCACTAAATCATACGATGCCCCTTTGGCTTTCACTGCACGAACTCAAACACAAATCACAAAAACAGAAGCATTATTACAAATTATATTTTTAATTATTATTACTTGAAGAAGAGATCACGGAACCATTGTAAGAAAGGCATAAATATCCTGAATCCTGATATAAGTGACAGATGACACGTTACGACAGCTGCCAGTCAGTTAAGTAAAAAATTTTAAATTGATTTCCTTTTAACATTGTCCTGTAACAGGAGAATGGCCTTAAATCACGACAAAATTATTACGTGTATTTTAAAAAATAAGTATATTCACTTACCTTCAGAGCCACATCAAAGAAAAAATAGACAGATCAAACATTTTCGCAGTGCCTCACATCCAGGCGCTGATTTGTATTTTCTATTGACATCGCAAAATAAGTTTTTATAAAACTTAAATGACTGGAAATGATGTAATAACCTTTTCATTTCACTTTCATATTCCTGTTTGTAGGGTATCTTCTCACCCGTTACTTCACCAACCCGCGATTTTCTTTTCGTATCTCTCACAATTTTTGAAATTCATCAAACTTGCATATATAATTTCCAGGTCGAATAATAAAAAGTGGATGCGCAACTAATTTCAACTTTTGGATACATCTCTATTTGAGACAAGAAACCAATGGAATTACCATTAACACATATTATTAGCACGTACATCCTCACTATGTACCTATGCACTGCCTTTTCCTTCCAGATGGAGTCTATAGTATACAAGTTACAGCTTAGATCTCCAATATAGTGCCATCTCTGAAGCACTTGATACATCACATCATAGCCAAATTCACACATCATGACGTTTAGGCAACACGTACAACTACAAACGAGTTCACGACTAGTGTCAATCAGCTAGAGCTAAGAGCCGTATCGTCAGTCGTTTCTACAATTGTAGGACGCCTTTATACATAGGCTAGTTTTGATTTTCTTGGTTTTCTACTGTTCCGAATCAGCGCTCTATTTTGAGGTTATGTTACAAATATCCATTTGCATCAAATTGTTAAAGATTTTGATTTATATCATTTGTTACACAGCCTGAAATTTTCTTCGATTCAAAACGAAAACATAGCCTTACAATAAGAGAGCGCTAATGCTGACACGGAATAGTAGAACTCTAGAAATATCCCAGCCTTTCTGAAGGATAGAAAAGACCATGAAAATCAAGTAGGCCATAAAGGCGTCCTACAGTTGTAGGAACGACTGACGATACGGCCCTAAGTCAACGTCTTGGCGAAAAACCAGCATAATGTCAAAAAAAACACCATAATGTCAAAAAAAATCGGCATAATGTCACTTTTCAAGTTACGTGATACTCCTGCCGGCAATAGTATTTGGCAACACGGAACGCCAGATTTCAAAGGATTCTGGGACAGTCATGTATCATGTATGTAACGTCAAATATGTATCACTCTCTAGTTTCCAATCACTGACAGATAATATTTTGATAATATAATAAACAGGTAAGCTAAACTTTCCATTTTTGAGCTGTTCATTCTAATTTGTATTTTGCTTTTCATAAAAAACGTTGAGCCTTTCTTTGTGTAAGCTGTCTTCGTGTTGATGTTTTGTTGCAAAGATCGGAATTAATTCGTAGTATCATCAAAGCATATATCTACTAGTTGGTTGTTTCTAGGTAAATTGAGGTGCCAGTGGCCAGTGCGTAGTGTCTGTAACCAGAATGACTGAAGAAGGGGCCACCACAACTCTCTACAAAGATGGGGAAATTGTATGGGTTAAATTGGGACCTAGCTGGTGGCCTGGAGAAGCCAAAAATCTAGAAAGTTTGCCTGAGGAGGTTGCTACATTCAAGAAACCACCTCTTATAGTTGTCAAGTTCTTTGATGAAGATTTATAGTAAGTTATTATTTTGCCACTATTCAGACATGGACAAATATCTGGGTGTCTATTTACTTTTTCGGATAGGGTTCTGAGATGAATTTAGAAAAGCCCAGGAATCAAATATATTGTGTTGTCGCACCACTGCCATTGTTAAACAGTGTGTATATTTCATATATCTGACTGAGAATGCAAACTAATATCAAGCTGCATTGATAACTCATCACATTTAACTATGTTGACAAACAATAAAAATGTGTTGTGTTAAAAAAACACATGGAATCTACAAGGGAAAGAATGTGTTCATAATTTTGATGGAAGAAGAAAATCACCTTATTACACAAAATATATCAGATGTTTTAAATTTGACTCTCACCATTAGGGTTTCTGAGATGGTAACAGATAAATTGGCATAGATGTCAGATTTATAGACCTTCCTTGAGGCATAAGGCTTCCTTGGAAACAGTGAAACAATATAGGATATAAATTTTCATTTCACAGTAGGCTGTAGAAGTTTTCATCACAAGCAGTCCTCAATGTGAGAAAGATGCATTTGATTAAAATACTATACAAGTTATAAGGAATCATTGAAAAGAAAAACATATAGCTCCTTAATAAGTTGAAGAGCAAATTTCAGAAACCAATAGCAAAGTTAAGGTTTTCCTTTTCAGACACAACTACGCTTGATATATCAAAGCTAATGTGTGGCAAAAAAAAATAAATGAAAAAGTACTCACTGCATCTCTAAGAATTACACTACAGGTAGACTTTATATCATTATTTAGTTTATTAAATTCAAAATCTGACAGATGTAATCCACAACATTCACAGTTGGATGCAACAGTTTTGTTATATTCAGTTTTTTACTTCTCATGTTTGCGATGTATTTCAAGGAATCAAACACATTATTATATTCCGTGTTTTATTGATTTTTAGTACAAATAAACCAAATCATCTCAATTTTATCTTGAAAATGCTAATTAGATACACTGACACCAAAGAAAAATCTTTCTGACATTGGTTGACAGCTTGTGATGACTGCTACAGCCTACTGTGAAATGAAAATTTAAATCCTCCCCAACGCAACTGTCAAAGGATCCGACATACAACTTTATCAATCATTTAAAAAGTACAAATAATTCTGAACAGAAAATGACAGAAAAATGGTGGCATCATGCTACTGCAAATGACACCACTTCAACCTATAGCCAGCTCAGGAGGCTCCCTGACACACAACTTGGACAAATATCTACTGTCCATAATATAATCACTGACAGAAGAAAATCATCATAAGTCAAGGGCTCCAAATACTTCGTCGCGATTCTGCGAACTATGAACATTGACAAGGATCAAGATCGTTTTGTCAGCTTCGACATCAAAAGCCTCTACACCCCAACGTTCTGCAGGGCTATTACGTAAAACACCTATAAAACGTCAATGAAACCGACAAAATACCAACTTGCTGCCTAGATAGTTCCTAGTGTGCAAATAGTACATTCCATGTTTGCTCGTTATGAGCGCTGTGTCAAAAGGGTGCATCTATGGAGGAATGACTCAACGACACGACACTCTCAATGACCATGCTGCAAGCTGCAAGGCAGCTCCCCATCATGCTTTGTTGGTTGCTGAATGCTGAGATAGTCTGTAGATTATGCTTTGAGATGTGTGGTTGAGTAGCAAAGTAGCAAGATCACATAGTATGTATTAGTCTGCATGTGAATAAAATCAGTGATATTTGCAATGTGAGAAAATTATTACTGAATATGCTGCCTATTAAATATTAGCTGTGCCAGACAGGTTACTTGTGTTATTGTTTCTCTATGTTCAAAGTTATACATTACGATTTTCCTCGTTTATTTTTGCGTTTTCAAAAACTTTGAGAATCATTACGGGAAATCAGCACCGCATCCGCGTTGTGCGTAATTAAGCCACATACAGAAAAATTAGGAATGATGCAAAACATACAAAACATTTTTGCACTACCTCACATCTAGGCACTTAACATCGTAATTTTTAGCTTTGCATACATCTCAAGTAAGTGTATTTGAGACAAGAAACCAATGGAATTATCATCAACACAAATCCTCACTATGCATGGCCGTTTCCTTCCAGCTATAGTATATAACTTACAGCTTAGGCCTTCAATAATGCCATTTCTGAAGCAGATGTTACATCACATCAGAGCCAAACGTTGATAGCTGAAGCATCATGACGTTTAGTCGTTCAAGCAGCAGCGGTGGTCGCAGCGGTAGACGCTTCATCTCCTGATCAGTCGCCGTGCGTTGCGAGAGTTCGAGAGAAATTTTTCTCTTGGCAATGGACGTTGTGATTGACCGTAGGTGGTAGACGGTCTCTGACTCTCGTACATGGAGGTACCACCCGGCAGATCTCGTAGGCGGGGCCAGAATGTGTGCATGCTGCATGCACACGTGTTCCCTCGCTGGAGTCCGTGTGGCGTCCGCCCGCTTTCCCCTATATTCCCCAATAGCCCCACGGTACCCCATGGGTGTTTAGGCCTTAAGCCTTCGGTAGCTGGAGTATAAAAAAAGGCAACACGTTTAGCGACGGAACGAGTACACAAGAGTAGAACCGCTATTGCTAAGTTGGTATCTCGTAGAAAAAAGTACGTCAGAAAGAAACATGTCAAAAATACGATATGATATCACTTTTTAAGATATTTATGTAATACCCCCGGCGATTGAGGAAGCTTTACAAGTAATCCAGATGAAGCCTAGAGACAACCAAAAATTGGAAGAGAGGACAAGCCTACTGGTGGAAGGGATAACAACTACTCACGTTATGCATAAGAAACAATAAGTTTCATGTAAAAGAATAATTTTACAACCAAGAGGAAGGTCTGCTAATGGGATCACCATTATCACCAGTAGGGGATAACATATACATAGAGTGGCTTGAGTCAATTGCTACTACGAGCTTCGAAGTTTAGCCAAAGATTTGGCTTCAATATGTGGATGTTACTTTCGAAACCTGGAACCATGGGGAAGAGAAACTACAAGCATACTGATATAGCAATCTAAGACAAAAAGTTTACAATGGAAGAAGAAAACAACAACAGTCTCTCATTCTTGGACGTCATGGTAATAAAGAACAATTCCAGAATAGAAACCACTGTATACAGAAAACACATACAGGACAATGCTTAAATTTCTCTTACATTCGTTCAGCACCCACGAAGAAAGGCGTAATTAGAACCCTCATCGACCGGTACAAAGTACATCTGCAACACGCAAACAAATCTCAAGGAAGAAATCAACTGCATCAAAGATTTATTAAAAAATGGTTTCCCAAGACGACTGATAAATGAAGTTTTGAAAGAAAACAACACCAACAACAGTAGAACCACACGGAATGAACACCAGCATGCACTCTACGGTATATTGAGAGAATAAGCGATGCAACCAGAGGAGTAGGAAGACGATACCAAATCGAGATTTTAAAAAAACACCACACTCCGCAACACTTTCATAAAGACAAAACCATTACACTAAGTATTGTGATTACCAGGTGCCATGTGAATGCGGAGAAATGTAGGAGCAACAAAAACACCACTTTCAGTAAGAATGAAATAGCATAAATTTAACATTGTACGAGAAGAAACAAATTAGTCCGACGAACATTTCAATTATCCACATTGTCTTCAAATTTCTAACAACAGTTCTTAGGCACTTCTCTCACTAAAAGCAACCAGACGGCTACTGGCCCGCTTTCCACTGAAGCAACTGGCAGTCTCGGTTTTGAGGTTGCTGATGAATCCACTAACTAATTACTTACTATTAAGAAGGCGTAACATATAGACTGCTTTGATTTTTTGCAGTCCTGATTGAAAGAAAAATAGCATATATATCGAATCATGTGCAAGGACACCAAAGTGAGGTTGGGAAGTAATACTACTTCCGAGGAAGGTACTATGAGGCTTCTGATAGATACGCACTTTCGAAGTTCCACAGTAGCGCAATCGATCAGAGAGTGCATGCGGTTGCGCAGGTCCTCAGGGGAGGGCTGGTGCATTGCAGCGGAGATTGTCACCTTCGATAGGATGGTATGGGCGATCGTTTCGTTTGTTCCATACAAAAGTCTTGGTTTGGACGGCGTATTCCCGGCGATGTTACAGCACGGGCTTAACCGCTAGAAACTGACCGCAGGCTATAGTAGTATTTACTCCTAAACCGCGCAGAGCTAGTTACACTGGTCCGAAGGATTTTCGTCCGATTACCCTTACATCTTTTGTGCTCAAGACAGAAGTATAGTGGATAGATTTTTGAGGGATGGCCAACTGGAGAGGTGTGCCATTCATTCTAATCAGTTCGCATACCACGCTGAGAAGTCGACTGATCTGGCCTTACATAGTCTGGTCGGTAGGCTGAAGAAGACTAGATCAGCGAGAAGTGGCACTCGTGTCCTTTTTGGACATTGAAGGTGCATCTAATTTTCGTACAACCGACTCACCAAACATGCCTTTGTTAGACAGGGGGTTGAATCAGTCCTAGATGATTGGGTTCTATAGACTCTTCAGGGTCGTGTAGCAATAGGTATGCTGAACGACGTATGCTCCAACGTCAGTGTAGCACGCGGCTGTCCGCAAGGCGGAGTTCTGTCACCCCTATTGTTGTGCCTTGTGGTAAACGATCTCCTCTTTAAGATTGTTTTTGTAGTATGGTATCTGACATTATGCAGGGCACTCTGTGCGTTGTGGAATCGTGGTATAGGGAGGTCGATCTTTCTGTCAACGCTGGAATGACCGAGCTGATCCTATTCACTAGTAGAAGGAAGCTTGGCGGGCTTGTCTTGCCGACCTTCTTTGGGAATACAATCTATCCCAATCAGTAAAATATCTAGGAATTATCTTGGACTGTAAACTGAATTGGAGAGAGATGTTGAGTACAAGGTTAACAATGCTTGTGGGCTTGGAGCCGTGTTATTGTTGTGAGGTGGCGGCTTAAACCCAAAGTGGTGCACAAGTTCTATACGATGATGGTACGTCCACTTCTTTTGTATGGCTCTCTGATTTGGTGGCCCTGCATTGGAACCGAGACAATTAAGGCCAATCTCAATAAAATTCAGCGTTTGGCTTGTACCAGTATTACAAGCGCAGTGCGGACAACGCCTAGGAGAAGAATATCAATCTTCTCCGACATACAGGCTTCGATGAAGTTACTAAGTACCTGCATGATTACTTCAAGTCTTGTATTGCAATGCAGAGAGGCATCATCCGGTTTCGTTAGTGTGGGTACCGGGGCATGCTGGGATAAAGGGCAGTTCTAGGGCGAACGCTCTTGAAAGTCCCAGAGGTGCCTGCGCAAAGAGTCAGGAGGAAAATGGAGAAGTGGATTGCTAGACAACACTCTCAGAAATAGAGAAGCATCTCTAGATAACTCCGTCACGCACGGACGCTCTTCGTAAGGATGGATGCTTTTGCTTATCTTTGGGTAGAGCCAACCTCAGGTTGTTGGTGGAACTGTTCTGGGACTGGCCATTACACGATGAGGCGCCACCTGCATGTGATTGGCGTGGCTGAGGATCCTATGTGTAAGCGCTGTGGGGGTAGAGAAATAGTCCTCGGCGCATGTTCTGTGTCGCTGTGAGGCTCTGCGCTACTACAGTCAAGCTATACTGGGGTCCACACTAGTGCAAAATGGCCCGTTTATGCGCCGGCTCCTCATGTTTGCCGGTAGGCCTCTACTTTATTCATTCATTCGAGCCCGTACACATGCCCGTTGTTCAGGAAACAAGCTGTCAAATGCAATCTTTATATTCGGTTATATTCCCTCTCTCACATCTTGATTCAAAAGTATGCTCCATATACTTACGGTTTGCAACCCACACGCTAGTGAAATGAGAGTGTTAATGGTTTAGGCAAACGCAAAACAGCCGTAGCGCCATTTTGCCATAGGTGACGATTACGGCATGTGGGTCAGAAAAACAGCGTAGTACACAGTCTCCTACTATGTCTATGCATATCACATTTCAAAGTAAAGTTTATTTAAAATCACTACTATGTCAATTCTAGACATTGCATTTGTAACATTCTATTGTACCTCAGTCAAACCTTTTGTGTATTTCTCAAAAATATGAGTTCGATCCCAAGTTTAGGAGATTTGAAAAATTTGTTGTTATAGATTTTTCGCTGACTAAGCATCATACTGACTCCTTTGATAGGTGAAATGTTAATACTAACCAATATTTTCAGTGAATTTGTACGCAGCTGGTCTAACATATACCCCTACAATTGTGAGAAGAAAAATGAGTTCATTAGAAAAGGTTTGGGTAAGTAACATTTTTGGTATTGTGTAAAATGAAGTACATTTGACACGGACATAAACGTTGACTGACTCAAGAGCTGATTCACTTTAAAAAACAAACCAAGATATTTTTAAATGAAATGTCCCTTAATTGGTTATCTGGTTCACCAGAGGTATATATTTGTGATGAACGTGGAGATTTAATAAAGCTTGAACGAGCAATATAAAGGCCAAAAAGAATAATAAATGAAGTGATTGTATTAAAAATTATGTATACTGTTCAGTTTTCTACACTTGAATTTGACTTACAGCCGCCTACCGTGCTAAGGCTCCACACATGGAAAAATTTCCCAAAGATGTGTCCACAGCCGAAGTTAGAATTGATGGCAACCCAAATATCCTGAGTGATCCTGAATTCATGCCTAAAAAAAAATTCAACCTGAATGACCTTTTTCAAGACCAGAGTCCAAAACCTAAGAAATCAAAGGAAAAAAACAAGAATAAATCAACATGTGAGTATTTGATGGCATAAAACCGTATTTTAATAAGATCCAATCGATATTTTATGGGTTGACTAACCAGAACAGACCATATTTTTTAAATCGAAAATACAGTATGATAAAGCTGTAGCAGGATCAGACACATAATAGAAAATCAATAAAATGTATCTGGTCATCGCCTGTCTGACGAATTTCTTATTGAACAGGCATATAGTCTCTATATTATATTTTAACAAAAAAACCTCATATGAACTTATGTGCACAATGGCTGAAATTTTCGGAATTTCATTACCCACGCTACTGGCGACGAAGTATTGCAATTGCGAAGACATTTGAAAATGAGCTATTATGTTTATTGGATGTTATATGACATGTACCGGGTGACCCAATAGTAAAAGATACTGGCTAACCTAACAAAACTGACCAAGGGAAATTATTGGAAATTATTTTCAGCTTTCTAAAATTGCCGCTAAAATTTTCAATTTCAAAAATTCAATTGCCATTATTTTGCAAAAATGCGTAACTGTATTATGTGGAATACCCAATTTTCTAACTTCTTTCTCATTGTCATTTTTCCATATTTTGTTTCGTATAGGGTAGGGGAAGGGCTGAACTTCTGCTTGGCTGCACCGATTTTCACGATCTTGGTTTCATTCGAAAGACTTGCGCCTGCGCTCCTACTCAAAGCCCAGTCTTGTCAAATCAGTTCACTATTTTGAGAAATATAATAATAACTAATGGAACTTTTTCAGTGGCACTCTTTAGGCACTACTCAACTTTTTTTATATGGTCAGAAAAAAGAACACCCTGTGTACATCCTGTATCTGATAGTATATTTTTCTAAGAATTCAACGTAGTATCACATGTTACATTTGTTTGTGTCAACGCTTTATTTTGAGGTGATCTTACAAATATCTATTTGCATCAAATTGTTCAAGCTTTTGATGTATATCATCTGTTATATCAGCCTCAAATTTCCTACAATTAAAATAAACCCATAGCCTCCCAACAGAACCGCAACCGCAAATAACACTTGATGTCGAACCTGCTAGATGGCCAGATGTACAATACGGGTCCTTAAAGTTTAGAATCTTTGGCTGAAATGTCTCTGTTATCATGATGAATCGCAGACAGCGCTGTTTCGTGCTCTTAAGCACTCATCAATATGGTATAGGTCTAGTCTTGGAAACAGATTTCTCACCTAGTTTTTTAAAAGACTATATGCAGTTTGTCCCCGAGACTAGATCTACACCGTCATAAAAAATAAGGTTCAATCCGGGAAGCGTGCAGGCCAAGAAATGGGTCCATCTATTCGGAAACTCATTATTTAGATGTTCATGAACTTCTCGTCTAAATTGTGGCGATGGAGCCCCATCATGTAGGAACCACATATTCTGCCTCACATTTAGAAGAGTATATTCTAATAATTGTGGCAGATTGTATCAAAGCAAATCTAAACTAATTTCACCGGTCAGTCGAAGTGGAAAACAATAGGGTCCAATAAGCGTGCCATTTATCACGCCAGCCCAAACATTTAACGAAAATCTATGTTGAAAATGAGTTCTTTTTACAATAGTAGGACGTCTTTATGGCCTCCTTGATTTTCATAGTTTTCTACTTTTCTGTATCAGCGCTCTATTTTGGGGTTATGTCACAAATATCTATTTGCATCAAGCTGTTCATGCTTTTAATTTATATGATGTCTTATCAGCCTGAAATGTCCTACAATTCAAAAAGGAAACATAGCTTCACAATAGGAGAGCGCTGACGCTTACACAGAACAGGTGCAATGTAAAAATTTTTTTAAGGAGAGAAAAGACTATGACAATCAAGGAAGCCATAAAGGCGTCCTACAATTGTAGAAACTACTGATGATAAGGACCTAAGTTATAAAAAAAACATTTTTATTTTATTCAAGTAGGCGTTGCAAACAAATGCTTGATGTAAGATTATATGATTATTGATAGATGCATACCTATGTCCTTATTTATTTTACTGTCCCGCTTTTGAGCTTTGTTTGTATATCTCCAGGTGTTATAGTTTATTATTCTTTAATTTTAATTGTTTTCTAAATGCTCCTCAAGGCAGGCATGTCTTTTCATCATGTAATCTTTTGACGTGTGTAACCGCATTCGTTTGGTAAAACAAATAATTCGTTTGGTAAAACGAATAAATTATTATTATCATTATTGAAAAATGAACGTTTGTGTCTTCGGATTCACTTCTTATAAGTAGAAACTTCTGTTTCAGTATGTATTACTGAATCGAAGCTAAAATGTGAAATTTGTGTTCCATTCACATTAAAATATCATAAAACTCTAGATATTTAATATACTGGTAAGGTATACTAAGTCAGTTAGAAACATCAGATAAAACACAGAAAGTCGCAGAACTAATTTAGACTTAGAATAATATCTTGAATTTTTGCGTTATGTTTTAGAAACTCTGGAAAACTTGGACTCCTCTTTACACTATTAGGATATGTCCCACTTTTACCATACCGAAATAATATCGGATATAAATACAGGGATTCTTGTCAAGAAATGGATTAAGTTAAAAAAGACGAAATCGGATTAATCTCACACATTCATTTTTTTTTTAGCTTCTTCAAATGACACTTCACACATCACACACAGAAGATTTTTGGGCACAGAATCATTGAATGACTATCGCGCATATATTTGCATTCAGTATCCTGGAAAAGATCGGACGTCTGGTGATCCTGAAGATGATGAGGTATGGAATTGCTGTTCTACATTTTCGGCCTCAAAATCAAATTGAACTATCTATTCATTTGATAAGAAGTTCCAAGTATTGACTTCTCGTAAATACTGGTTGTGCCGTTAGATTAAAACCCAGAACTTTGGTTACGTCCAGAATTTACAACATTTGGGGCTGTCTTGGTCTTCTACTGTCCACCTCGATGGCCTTTGCTCGATACAAGCAAACATACGCAGCTCGAGACAGAAACATCGAGGAAAATGACCTGAATACACTCGCGAAGCATCAATAGCATCTTGAAGACAGCATAAACTAACATCAAATCAAGTTATGTGTCAAATTTCAGTTTTTTCAAATCCTAATCGTAAATAAACACCTAGGTTAAAATACACACCATGTGGTGCCTGATTTGGATGCTGATGCACATTCTACCTTTCTGGCCCATTCAGATTTTCTCCAAACTGAATATATCTGTTATCGTATGGCTGTGATGTGGGTCACTAGAAAGATTTTCTCATGCCCAGTTGCACCGCCTATCTAAGGTCAAATTTAAGCTAAGATGAACCTTAACATCCAGGTTTTTGTTGCACCAGATACACCTGAAATTTGAATGGAACTTAAACAGTCGAGCTAAGAATAATTTCTCTGCGTAAGGTGAATTTTTTAACCTAAAATGTCAACTTGCCAGTTTGACATTCTTATGATTTGACCTACTGACCACTGTTAGGACATGGGTAAACTAAAAACGAAATTTCATGCAAATTCTTCATTAAGTTTCGTCCAACTCGCGTGGTGATATTTGATAGCTCCTCTTAAAAAACAACCAAGTTTAGTCATGACGAATGCGATTCTGGCTTGAGTATCCAGCATTTTGGAAAGGGAAGGGTCTAGGAGAGGAATAACAATCTTCTCTCACAGCCAGGCGGCGGTGGAGGCACTAAGTTGTATTGCAACGCAGCGAGGCATCTGGTATCGTTAGTGTGGGTACCGGGGCACGCTGGGATAAAGGAAAATGATATGGCGGACGCAGGTTCACTGAGCAAACTTGTTGGTCCTGAGCCAGCCCCAGTGGACTGCTAGACAACACTCAGAAATGGAGAAGCATCTCTAGATATCTCCGTAGAGCACAGTGTTAAGAATGGACACTTTTGCTTATAAAGGGTGGTCCAACCATAACGCACGATGTTAATTGGGAGTCACACCTTAACGTTAAGTTTTTTCCCAACTTTATTTCAGTCTTTGACAAATTCAACCATGGATAGGTACACAGTTGAGCAGCGCGTTCAAATTGTTGAAGCGTTTTATAAAAATGACCGTTCAAATCAAAATGCATTTCGTGCACTTCGTGATTTTTCTGGTCAGCATAATCGACCAAATGTGTCCACAATCGGGACAATTGTGCGCAAATTTCAGCAAACCGGGTCTGTATGAGATGTGAAAACAAATGTGCATACTCGCCTCAACAATTGAACATCTCACGGACACCACTGATGCTAATTTTGAACAAAAACTTGGATTTACACGCATACAAGGTCCAATTGACTCAAGAACTGAAGCCGAATGACCATTTCAAGCGTCGTCAATACGCCGAATGGTTGGTTGAACAGACAGACGTGAATAATGACTACGAAGAAAGTCATCTTCAGCGATGAGACACACTTTCACCTCAGTTAATTAGTTAACAAGCAGAATTGTCGCATTTGCGCAAATGAGAATCCACGAGTGATTGTTGAAAAGCAGATGTATTCACAACGAGTGACTGGGCCGTACTTCTTCGAAAATGAGGTCGGCCAAGCAGTTACCGTGAATAATGTTCGCTATCGCGAGATGATAACGGACTTTTTGTGGCCAGCAATTGAGGATATGGAGCTGTCCGGTATGTGGTTCCAACAGGCCGGTGCCAATTGCCACACAGCCAACGAAACAATGGCTCTTTTGAGCAAGAAATTCAATGGCCGTGTTATCTCACATCGTGGCTGCCACGATCATGCGATTTGACACCTTTGAGTATATTTAAAAGAAAAAGTGGACGTCATTAAGCCAAAAGAACAATTCAAGAGCTAAAGTATGATATAATTCGGCACATTAACGACATTGAACCTCATTGTGCCTTCGGGTCATTGAAAATATGGACCAGCGGATAGATGCCACCAAAGCCGTTGCGATCATCTAGTTGATATTTGATTTCACACATAATTGTCATAGATCTTTCTATCATAATAAAAAAATCCATATAATTCTATGAAAGCTTTTTGTTATATTATATACAATTAACATCGTGCGTTATGGTTGGGACCACCCTTTATTTGGACAGAGCCAACCTAAGGTTGTTGGTGGGACTGTTGTCTGGCAACCACCTGCATGTGACGGGGGTGGCTGAGGATGCCATGTGTGAGCGCTGTGGCTCTACTACAGACAGGCTATACAGGGGTCCAACACTTTGGATCTCAGAATGATAAGGAGCCGAGACTCGGGGGTATACTCACCTTTGCTAGGGCGGAACTTCAGGCTTAGAGAATCTAGCGGTGCATAAGGGCCAGTTTAAGCTGTCTATTCCCCGGCTCCTCATGGTATGCCTCTAATTTCTTTATTCATTCGTCCATTCATTCATTAGTCATGAAGTGTAATGCATTGTTTGAACTCCTTATAGGGATGCGGATGTTTCAGAATTTTTTTCAAACTAATGAAGGCGATCCAAACGAACCAAAAGTATCGCATCAAATATAATACTGGTATAGGGAAAATCTAGATAGAAATACATGTCCTTACATCACTGGGTTTGCCTTTTTATTCGTATAAAGAACTTTGGTGTGAAAAAAAAAAACAGAAAACCGATTCAACCGATTTTTAACTCGAGACGAAATTTCCCGAAAAAGTCACTAAAGATACACTGTTGCCAGATGTAAATTCATCTCAGCTAAGTTCTCACCAAATTGGAGTGGTGCAACAAAAACTCGATTGGAGGTTAACCTTAGCATTCAGATCACCTTTGCTAAGTAGTATATTGTTGCTTAACCTACACGCTCTGTAAAGTCTTAACTTTAAAGAACACCGTTATTTCTCCAGGTAATCAAGATCAATACGGAACCAGATCAACAATACAAATGCTGCACATGTACATTCGCAACTAAACGACTGGAAGTGATGATCATGCATAGAAAAAGCCATATACAGGGTGTGTATGTATCCACTACGCCAAGGAAATATAAAAGTCGTACTGTGAAGCGGCAGAAGAAACACCGACCGAAAGTTGAAGGACCAAAGGAGAAAAAGAGAAAGGTAATAATGATCTTTGTGACAGAATTCAAAATTACAAGTAAATGAATGGGAGTTTTAAAACAGGTCAGCAGTAGTGCAGTACTCAGAAATAATATTTTTTGAATCCTTAGAATAATTGAAAACAGGCTGAAATTTGACATGGGGATAAAATATAAAAACATTCCTTTTTATTTGTCAAAAAATATGGGATTGATAGAATGAAATCTGAAAAAAAACTTTCAATATTAGTCTTAATTTGTTAGATTTTGCAGGATAGCACTGAAAAGGAAAAAGTTTGAGTATGGTGTTACATTTGTATCATTTCGTGCTCAATGCTCAACAACGTTGAGAGCCGCAGACAAATTTGGTCATACCTCAGTGAAAACTGTCCCAAAAATAAGTAGGTTACTCTGAAAAGAACATATTATTCTCAACGTATTGTTTTTATGTACTATTCCAGTTTAAACCTTGAAATTTATTGCCCCGTATCATTTTAGTTTTGAGTATTTCTAGAAAATTGCATACATTTCTGAATACGATAAAAAATAATCACAATCATAATTATCACATACGTGAAGGCAGAAACCCTCTTCCACAGACATTGTTTTTTGCTTTCTTACGTTAACGTGTTAGATTTTTGAAGTGCTTGAAGTTTTTTTCAAAATAGTGTGTGAGCTCCAACAAACTGGTTTTGTAGGCAAATGCCCGAGCTACAAAATCTTCATTTTTTTTCAAAATTGTAGTGTATCTGAAATGTTTAAAATTTTCTAACAAGTCATCTCAAGAAATCATACAATTTTGGTATCATGAAAAAAAATTTCTGTTGACACGAAGTAGTAAGTACTCGAAACACATATTAAACTCTCTCGTAAAATCGAAAAATTTAAGTGCTGTAAGATATAATAAATTTTCCCGGCTTTCACTCTAGTGGTACAGATTTGTTATATATCGGGTGTTTTTCGAAATATAAAGAAAAATATGTTTACATTGAAACTACAGTAGGTAGTATAATGGCACGTTGGGTCAGATGAGAAAACATATGATTGATCTCAAAACTCAATTCAATGCGTCAAGGGATAAAACTATATGGGAAAACTTTAGGATAACGCGTGAAAATTATAGGAAGGCTCTAAAAGGTAAAAAAAAATAGCTATACAAATTTGATAATCAACTCAGACGATTATAGTAAGACTGTATGGAAAGTAGTAAACTATGAACAGAAAAACGGAATTAGTTGTAGTACTCATTTATCTCCAAATGACTTTAATAATTTTTTTACAATTTCGGATAGAATCTTTAGCATGTATCCAATGCTGATTCTGCTGTTTTCCTGAATTAAATTCCCGGGCCATATTTTTTCGTGTTTATGAATGACTCCATTAATGCTAAATAAATCCTCAACAAACAAAACAAACAATCCGCCTGGTGTCAGCGCTGTTAGCTCTTTGCACACAACATACTGAGTTTTGCAGTAGACCTTACTCGCTTGTTTGCTTTCCATTTGTCTGTTTTCAATGATTAGACCTATACCATACTGAAAACTGCTAATAATTATGTAATAACGTTGTATGCGGTTGAGAATGATCTTCTAGTTCTCAAAACGTGTATATCAACTCAAAATTTTGTATTAACAGTATAGCTGATACATACAAAAATGTTTTTACATGAAACTACACCAGTCACAGAAATTGGGAAATTTTGAAGAAGAAATGTCTTTTGCATTTTTGATTAAGGCATTCAGTTTTGCATAAATCGCATCTTTTTGCAAATTTTTGTCAGACTTAATTTGGAGAAAATTTGGTTTGAATATGAGATGGTCCTTATAAAAGACCAATTATTCTACTTTGAAAATACACTGATAGTGAGGTTTGACATTGGAAGTACTTTCTTGACTATAAATGTTATTATTTTCTGAATCACCCTGCATATTCCTTGAATATTTTTTGTTTATCTTATGTTTCTAGGTACTGGTTCAGAGTGCAGAAATATCACCGAAAGTAGATAAACCTCAGCTGTCTAAGGAACTCACCAGTGAATTGCTAGCAGAGTGGGATGATGATGATGAGGAGGAGGTGGAAGAAGAAAGTCGTGACCTCACTATTCAATCTGAAGCGTCGGAGCCATCTAATTGTGAGGACTCAATGAAAGTTGATCAGTCGTTTGAGGATACCACATTCCAGCCTGTTGAAACTAGAACCATTGATACTGATAATTCTGAGAAACAACCAGAAGTAAGTGTGATGAATATAAATGAAGAAAATGCCGCTGAAGAACCTATTCTGGAAGAACATATTCAAAAAGAGCAAACTAAAGAGGAGGAGATGGTCACTGAAAACTGTGAAGCAGAAGCAGTGCTGCCTGAAAACAAGGGAGTTGCAACGAAGAGAGAACCGAGGCGCGCTTCAAGGTGGGATGTAGGCGCTCCCGAAAAGAAAAAAGTTTTGGAGAAAAATGAATCCGAAGAATCTGAGAGTTCCACAGAAGTATCTATTAATATACAATCGGATGAAGAAACAAACAGCCAAGGAGAACACTCAAAAGGCCTTGGTATTGAAGCATCTAGTAGCAACGAAAATGAATCTAAAGGCTCCGAAAGAAAGATATATGACAAGGAGAGCATCAATAAACAAGAATCAAAAGGCACTGAAAACGAATCTAAGAAAAAGGATTCAAAATATTCCTCTAAAAGTGAATCTAAAAGTAGCGAACGAGAACCTAGAAACTCGTCGGGGGGAGAATTTAGTAACATTGGAGAAAAAGGAACTGCGACTGATTCGAAAACTCTGTGGAAAAAGACAGACAAGGACAAGGAATCAAAAAGTTCTTGGAAACGAAAATTTAACACAAATGATGATGAACCCAGGAGTTATGGAGTGGGTGCAAAATCTCCTTGGAGAAGAAAGACTCCTGAGAACGAAATTAATACCAGCGAGAGACGGAAGGATCGACATAGCGGGTCAAAAAATTCTGAGGAAGTAAGACACAAGAACATTTTACGAAAGGAATCTGGTGACTCGGAAAGTATCGAAACTAAAGTTTCGGAAAGTCAGATAGATAAGGACATAAAGTCCTGTTTTGATTTTGATGAAGAAGATGAGGAAGATCCTCCAATCAGTGCTGCGCCAGTTGGCAGAAAGATTCCAAGGGTGATACCGGAAAGAAAAAAATCAGCTACAGTGGAACATATCGACGATACACCTAGCAAGAGCGATTGTTTGGATAATGTCTCGGAGAAACAAGAAAAATTTGCAGATGATAACCTGGAAAATACTTTCAAGGAACTAATGGAGACAACAACAGTGCCGGTTCTACCAGAAGTGCAAAACACACTCAAGTGCGAGCAAAATTTTCACACCATTAACACCATAAAATTTCCCGACAAGGCCACCCCTCAAAAGGAGGAGGTGGCCACTAAATTGACAAATCCGAAAAAAAGATTCGTGAAGTCGTTTGAGGACTTTGAAATGATGCAAAATAATATGAAAAGAAAGGAGGAAACAGAGGTTAACGAAAAAAAGCATCAGAAAGTAGATACAGTAGAAACCGAATTTGCTGAGTCATGCAAAGAAATATTGGATGTGGTTATGGGATCGCAGGGAGGAGACCAAATAGGCCACTCTCCAGAAAATGTTGCTGTTGTAAAGTCTTCGGAAGAATTTATCGATCACACAAAAAACTCTGGCAATGTGGAACTTCCAGCGCAAAGAATCGAAAAGAAATCTCAACAACCTGCACTAGAGGTCACGGCGCCATTAATCTCCATTGAAACAGAGCAACGGGAAGGTACGACTACCACAGAAGGAGTTGATCAAAAGTTAGACGTTATAAAGTCATCAGAGGAGAAACCGCCGATAATTGAAAAAGTGGTACATCCACAACTGCAACCAGAAAATAATAGTGGATTGAGCGACAAAACAGGTACTAGAGAGTTTCGAGTAGTTAGCCCAAAATCGAAACTTCTTACACCTAAAATACAAAGGAATTTAAAAAAGGCATCTCCTATATCCATGAAGGATGTCATAAGCAACATGGCCAAAGAAGCTGAACCGGCAGCAGATCTCGAAGCTAAGGTACATTTTGCTAATTTGAAATCAAAGATCATGTCCAAAATCATTGAGGAATCAAAACTGAGTAGTGCATCCAAATCAAAAATTATGTCATTAATGGAATCAGACAGGAATTTAGAAACAAAACACGAAACTGAAGTGTCAAATTCTTCATATGGTAACCACAGCCATCAGAACAAAGCTCAAACTAGCAATTTAGGAAGCAAAGATTTAGGTATAGACACAGCAGAAAAAAAACCCTCGTCTGAAGGAATGGTACGTACAAAGACAGAAGATGCGAAAAAGTCACCTGATGAAGAAAAAAACGCTTTGAAGAAAGCTACGTGGTTAACGAGAGGTAGTCATCCAAAAAAAGACAAATGCTTCATGAAGGAGGCAGTGGTTGAACCCAAGAAATCTTTGACTCGGGAAGCGTCGACATTTTTGCTCGAGTCTCCATCAATGTCTTCCTCTGCACCACCACCCAGTCACCATTCTTTAGCATTGCCATCCAAATCAATCACAGAAGACACTAGCCAAAGTGTAGTTCTAGAGGAAATTCCCCTTCCCGAAGAAATAGCTGTAGCGGATATACCTCTTCCTCCTGAACCACCTTTGGATGAACAAGCCGAAAAGCCGCCTTTGAGTAGTACGGAGAATGTTACACCAGCCATACTGATTGAAGGGCAGATTAGGCCTGAGAGGGTAGAAGAAATTTCTCAAGTTACTTCGAAACCCTTGACAGTGAACGTGGAAAGTGTATATAATACCTTTACCTCGCAATCATTTAAGTCAGAGCAACCATCTACAAGTCATGGTACTGAGAAAGTGTCAGAAGTTACACTACCTGTTGCGCTGGGCAAGAGCGAAAATGTTAAAGAATTGATCTCTGAAGGCACACTGAAAACTTTGAATATAAATATGGACAACCCAGAAAGTACTGTTACCTCACAATCATTTTGGTCAGAGCAGCAGTCTACAAGTCGTATGCCTGAAAAACTCACAGAAGTTGTGCCACCTGTTGAGCTGGACAAGAGCAAAAAGGTCAAAGGGATAGTTTCTGAAGACACACTGATACCTTTGGCTATGAGCGTGGACAACTCGGACAGTATCTTCACCTCACGAACATTTAGGCCAGAGCATCCGTCTATAAACCATTGTACTGAACAACTCACAGAAGTTGAATCACCTGTTGAGCTGGACAAGAACAAAAAGGTCGAAGAGACGGTTTCCGAAGACACACTGAAACCTTTAAGTATAAACGTGGACAACTCAGATAATATCTTCACCTCACAATCATTTCTATCATCTACCATAGACTTTTCTCCTATAGGAATGGCATCTGCATCTCTACCAGAGAATGCCATTTGTCTGCCCCCCAAGAAAAGCAAAAAAAGGAAACAACCCCCTGTGGACGATGAAGCTGACTTAGAGCCCTGTAAAAAGAGCGTTACAGATTCTCATCCCTTGATAGACGATGGGATTGATTGGAACACTATGAAGAAAGCAGAATCAGTTCGAAAAGCACCTAGTGACGAGGAAGCATGCACAAAACTTGTCTCTGACACTGGAATGGTGTACACCCAGTCTTGTGAGGCTGAAGTAAATGGACCTACTAAAGAAAAGGAGGACGATAATGTGCACTTTCATGTGGAAAGTAGTTACAACCGGAATGTTTCGGAAAAAGTCACCACAGACCTTCATTCTTTCACGGGTGAGATATTTGCTGAACACTCGAAGAGTGGGAAGAACGAGGAGCAAGGTCGATCGGACCAAGGACATACTCCGACAACAAACCAAATTCTTCAAAGTCAGCAAACGTTTCAAGAAACAAGAAAAGATCAGTCATCTATATTGGTAGATGAGACAGAAGATAAATCAGTTGTTGAGATAGAAAATCAAGTGCGCGAAATTGATACAGCAACAAGCAATGAAGAAGAAAACGCGAAAAAACTTTCAGAAAAAACCGTCGATGATGATACGTCGAATTCGATGTTGGTAGGTGAAAACAATGAGATAAAGCAGGCATTTGAATACAATGAAGAGGAAGATAGTATTGGTGTTAAGGAGCCAGTACTTCCTTCAGATAGAAAGGGTGAGCAACAATACGTTTCGGACATGGAAAATGTACCAATTGTTGTTGAAAAACTGATCGAAGAGAGTACAGTTGAAACAGTCTCTGAAGAACAAGATTTACAGTTAATTCTCATGAAAGGAGTTGGGGCTGTAGAAGGACCTGTTGTTCAGGATGATATAGAAGCAGCTGTTGTAACAGACGCAACAGAATTGGTAATGGAAGAGACGAAAAAAAGTCAAAGTATAATATTACCAATGGAAGAAACTGTGCATCTCGGAAAGCATAAGCCGGGGCTTCGAGAATTAACGCAGGTTCCCTTAGAATCCAGTCATATCGATCATACAAACCTTCAGTCCGTCAATCAGAAATCACTGATGAATATAAGCGACAAAGAAAATGTTGCCGAAGAGCATACGAATGAGGTTGAGATTCAGTGTACTAGTAATTCCAACGATGGTATAAAATTCTCAATTCAAACCAACCTGAGCAATTTTTCCAGTCAACAAGAAATATCCGCCGAGGCACTGGCTTCCTTGGCGGAAATGAAATCTGACATAGAAAATAGCGACAGTAATATTTCTCCAGAGGCACCAATTTCTAAATACAATGATAGCAATGGTAGTGACCTTAATGTAATGACAAGTATAGACAATGATTTAGTTGGTCCCTCAACTTGTAGCAGTGATGTTGGACTCAAGAAAATACATGAGCTTCCGGAAATGATTCACGTTGAAGGAAATTTGACAGTCGTATCAGAAAAAGATTTGGCTGATGGGCAAGTGGAAATAACTACGGATCAAGTTATCAGCACTAAAAAACCGTCAATACTGTCTAATTTCTCTATGGATTTTTCGGATTCAACGAATGATAGTTGCATTACAAATGTGCCCCATGAATACGACTCGAAGGGTACAGAGTTCACATCGAATGCAATAACCAAGGAAACTAAACCAAAGTGCACTAAGCTCTCTAACACATATGGCAGATTAGAACTTTTAGATATACTGGAGGGAGATTCTGACAATGAAAGGAAGAGGCAGCCAAAACCTTCTGTGATTAACGACGATATGTGCGATTTTGAAGATCATATACCATCTCAAATTGTCTGTGCCAAAATGTTGACATCTGATTTGCTGAAAAATGATGCTCCCAAGACATCCATTTCTGCTACTACTCATAAGCTGCTGGAAAGGTTATCTGAGACAAAAAATAAACCCGCAGCAAAAGCTGACCTAAGAAAATCAGCTTCTATTTTGAGTAAGACTAAGATAAAGTCAAGCGTAGTGTCAGAACAGGTCGCTAAAACGTCGGTTAAGCCTAATGCAACAGATCTTGATGACATTGAAGATGTAAAAGCTTTTGTCATCCACAAAGACTTGAAGAAATTACAAGCTGAAGAAACTGTAATTGAAGATGTGCCAGAAAAAACAGCAACAGGAAAATCAGCTGGTAAAGCAGCTGGTAAGAAGAGCACGCCAACGAAATCGACCAAAGCAAAAGCAGCGGCCGGCAAAGCCAAAATACTGCAACAAACCATAATCACCCCAGCTGGAGAAATCATACAGCCAAATGTAACGGTACAACAGGACATGAAAATGACAATCGCAAAGGTTAGTAATAACAGAGTTTGTATTTTACATTGTGAGCTTTTAGTGTATGCTCGGTAGATAACTCTGTTATTACACAAAAAGCTAATTATAAAAATTGTAGCAAACAGAACGATCCCGATTTGGAAAATATTATCCCCATCTATCGAAAAAAAAAAACGTTCATCTTTGACAACTTTCACCTCTACAGTTGTTATAGCTAGAAGATTACATAGGTTCGCATATTTTCTCCTTATCCAATGGCTGCGATGACCGATTTTACTTCCGCTAGGTGTATTGGAGTGGCTAAAGAGTAAGTCAGCCGTTTGCAAAGCTTCTCTGGGACACCCCACGTCAAGCCGAAAATGGGGATAGGTCAAGTCATAATAATTTTGTCATGTACTGTTCAAATTATAGGCTTTAAAAATATTGGAAAAATATACATCCTGTGATGATCTTTTAGTTCCCATTACTACAAATGTATTTTTTTTTCTTTGGCGGAGTATTGGACAGTGTCATTCAACGTAGCAACAGCAAGACAGTAACACCACTTTTATTAATTCGTGAATGTATTTATTAAATTCAAAATAAATATTCAAAATACCTTCAGCGGCAATGCAAGCTTGACATCTTAAAAATGCTCAGCTAAATTTTCCAGACCTCCCTATCCATCTGCTCGGGTATTCCGCAACAAGATATTCTCTAAATAAACGTGCATGGTGTGCCGGGCAGCCGTCTTGCTGGTACCTCATGTCTCTGTAAATGCTTAGTTGCACGTCTTCCAATAAATTTGTTAAATGATTTTGTAGAAAGTCCAAATAAATTTCGCTAATCAAGAACTCTGGCAGGTCAAAGGGTACAATGATTCTCCCAGATAGAATCCCGGTCCACATGTTGACTTTAAAACAATGATGGATTTATCTTGTTTCATCAAATGTAGATTTTCTACTTGCCACTCTTGTAAGTTGTGTAGATTCACGTAACCATCTTTTTTAAATGTCGACTCATCAGTCCATAAAATTTTCTCTAAAAATCGCGGATCGTCTTGGTCTCAGTTAATTGTTTGACAAAACTCAACTTTTGGAAGGTAATCCAGGGGTTGTAGAGATTGTACTAGCTGTATGTGGTACGGGTGGAGCTGGTTCTTCTGCAAGATTTTGGCCGCTCCGGTGCTTGCGTCTATTTGACGAAATGAGGTACTCGGGTCTTCTTCGACTGCTTGTAGTACCACGTAAGGAAAGAAAGTTCTTCCTTCACCAGATGCTTGATTTGGAAATCGTCCCTTTGAGAGTAAATGGTGCACATTCACAAAAACTCGGTGATCCGGATGACGAGCGGCATTTGGGTACCTCTCAAGATAAAGCCTAGCTGCAGCACCAGCATTACATCTACATTCCGCATAAATGAGGTGCATGTTGGCGTACCCAGACATGGTGGCTCTACAGTCTACACAATCATGAATTAATAAAAGTGGTGTTACTATCTGTCTTGCTATCACTACGTAGAATGACACTGTCCGTGATTCCGTCTAAGAAAAAACTGAAATTGGTAGTAATGGGTACTAAATGATCATCACAGGGTGTAGATTTTTCCGATTTTTTAAATTCTATAATTTAAAAAATACACAAACTGTATCTTTTTATATTTTTCTGATAACTATTATGTCTTGGCCTATCCCCAGTTTCCGGCTTAACGTCGACTTCTGGACATCCTGTATAAAGAGAAATCCATATACCGCTGACGTCGTAAAGTATACGAGATAGATGCGTGCAATACCTATGTTACAAAGAGATGGAAGCACCACGTTGCCTAGCAACCCGAGTGATGGGGTCACGGATGCAGCTTGCCGCGTTGCTATCGGCGCACTCTTTCTGACACGTATTGCACGCTTCTCTCTCGTACACATTACCTTGTCAATGATATTTGGATTTCTCTGTATATATAGAAAATAAACTGGTCGGTGATTGTGACTATCCAGGCCGTACTGCCACGCGGCAACGAGTTTTAGAAACAAAATTGCAAATGTACAGCGTCCGGCCCATCAGCTGCGGTACGTTCGTAAATCACTTGGTAATAGAATTCCGCCACAGTACTGGCGTCCGTCACTTTATTTTTAGAACGCCACCAAGTTCTTCCGTAAAAGACACTTGTTTCAAAAATCCATCTGCAGCTTGTACATATATGAAAAAACAATAAATCATTATCATGTTGCTTGAGGCTGTAGATCTATAATTTATACCAACCTATTACATTTACACGACAAATTTAATGTCATTAATCACCAGTACCCTATTTCTCGTGAAAAAAGAACCTTCTGCGAAATTGATAACTGAATAAAAATTTAAACAACTACTAAAACATGAGAATGACAGTTGACTTTATATTTCCAAGGTTTTGAGCACAAATAGTCCAGGAAGTATCTTCGAGCATCTCCTTAAAAAAATTTGATTCGGTTTTCTGATGAATCTTCATATTGCCATAGCGTCAAAAATTATTGGAACGATTTTTATAAACACATTCCAAACAATTCTTTCTCACCGGACAAAGTTGTTCTGGATTTTTTGGGTCACTCTCAAAAAATTCTTATGAAATTTTAAGTACGGCAGTAGTTTTTTACGGTGAAAAATGAAATGTCATAATTTTTATTGATACCCGGATCTTTCCTCAAGTATCACGCTGGTCCGAAAACTCTTTGATATCCATGTATGCCCTACCCGGGTGCGAAAATCCTAGCCTAGTTCAAGCTACTCCAGAAGCTCACGATTTATTCACCTCTCCATCACTTAAAGCAGGACGCATGGCTATAGTCCTGTTTGTAATTGTAAGGCTCGGTCTTGGATAATATATATATATATATATATATACGAGGGTGGGGTGAAAAGTTTCCGGCCTGACCAAGGAAAACGACGTTTTAAATTTTTTTTTGCTTTATTTTTCAACATAATCTCTATCAACACTGATACATTTCTCATAACGATGTTCTAATTTAGTTATACCCGTTTTAAACGTGGATTCGTCAAGCTCCTCAAAATACTGATTTACAGCTTCGATAACTTCTTTGTTGCTCTTAAATCTTTTACCGCCAAGCCATTTTTTGAGGTTAGGAAACAGGTAATAGACGCTGGGGGCTAAGTCTGGAGAGTATGGAGTATGCGCCAGCAATTCAGACTTCAATTCGTGGATTTTGAACATGGCAATAATCGACGAATGCGCTGGTGCGTTATCATGATAAAACAAAGTTTTTTTCTTCGCCAAATGAGGTCGTTTAATTTGCACCTCGTGCTTTAAACGTTGCAATAACTCTGCGTAGTATTGACCAGTGATAGTCTTACCCTTTTCAAGGTAATCCATGTGTATAATTCCTCTCGCATCCCAAAAACCAGTAGCCATAATCTTGTTTGCCGATAAAATTGTTTTTGCCTTCTTTGGAGTTGGTTCCCCTTTTCCAACTCACTGTTTGGACTGTTATTTACTTTCAGGAGTGTAGTGGAGGACCCAAGTCTCATCAACAGTTATGAATCGACGCAAAAATTGGATTACGCCTATACAGCGCCAAATTGTCGGTATGGTTTTTCGACGCAGTTTTTGATCGAGCGTTAGCAAACGCGGCACCCACCTTGCACACAGCTTTTCCATGTTCAAATAATGGTTGTACAAAATATTTCGCACACGTTCAGCTGACATCCTACAGGTCTCAGCTATCTCGTGCACTTTCAACATGCGGTCTTCCAACACTATTTTATGGATTTTCTCAATCATTTCTGAAGTTGTGACCTCAACGGGCCGTCCTCAGCGAGGCTCGTCAGAGGTGCTCACACGATCCATTTTAAATTCAGAAACACACTGCTTAATAATTGAATATGACGGTGAGGAGTCTCCTAGTGTTGAATCCATCTCTTCTTTTATTTGTTTTGGTGTAAAACCTTTCAAATAGAAGTATTTGATGACAGCACGTTTATCCATTTTATATATATATATATATATATATATGGTGTCCGCAAAGTTGGGGTTTTCCTTTTCAGAAACAACTACCCTTGAAATAACAAAGGTAATGTGTAGTGAAACGAGGGCGACCAAGTAAAAAAAAATATAAAGGAAAAAGTACTCACTCTCCAGTTGACGAGAAGTGCTAAGTACGTCACAGCCCGAAATCATACCGCTCCAACAGAAAATGAAATCAGCTGAAGCGCTACCGAGCATACGCAGAAACCACATTAATTGTCTTACACTTGATGGCACATCTTCTAACAAGGAAGGCAAAATGTTGCGTGAAAAGTCTAGGTATTGCATCCCGTCCAATCGATTTGGGAGAATAAATGGTCCAATGAGCATACCGTTCACCATGCCAGCCCAAACATTCACCGAAAATGTTTGTTGAAAATGACCAAACATGAATGTTGCGAAAGTTATTCACCCCATTACGCGTAAACGTAGATTCGTCTGTCACCAATATGCACTTCAAAAAGTCCGGATTATTGTCATGTTGATGCAACAACCACTCACAAAACCGCACTCTTGCTGGAAAATCGTCAGGTTGAAGGGCTTGTACACGTTGGACGTGAAACGGATACAGCCCCTCTTCACGCAGCGTTTGCCACACTTTAGTTTTTGATACTTGCACTTCTCTAGCCACGTCTTTAGTGCTTGTTGTTTTTTGAAACCCAATCGATTATACGAGTTCGTTGACCTCTACACGTGTGACTGTAACCGTCGGTTGAAGGTTGCATACTAACCTGACACACTGACCCCGAAACAGTTCTGCCGTCGGGTTGAGACCTTGTAACAGTCGGGGATATCCCGGCGGGTCGCGGCTACAGGACGGTATTCAGATATTTTTTATGTTGCAGAGCCCTTTATCTCGGTTCCCTTAAGACATTGGTGTATATGGTACTAAGAAAAACTGCTTATGTTTTCAAGATCTACACGTCGTGTAAAGGAAAACCCCAACTTTGCGGACACCCTGTATATATATATATATATATATATATATACACGCAATGTGCTCTTAAACGCAAACTAACGTAGCGATTGGGCTGGAACTGTACATACAAGCTTGGTAAGAATGGTTCTATAGGACGACACTCCAAAAGTAGACCTAGTGGCGCCATCTCTTGGTCAGGCCGGAAACTTTTCACCCCACCCTCATATATATATATATATATATATTGATGTGCTGGACATGAGCAACTTTCCGGTTTTCTGGAAAAGTACAGGATTCGTAAGGTAACTTGGAAGAGGAGCGAAAGAAGTGGAGGAATATCCGCTGCATATCTACTCATACAATGGTAGGAAATGAGTCCGGCAGGGGTTTTACGTAAGTGACATTATTTCGTTTTTTGACATTCTACAAGATGTCAACTAGGAACTAGATGTCGTTCACTTCATGCTCACTTGTAGCACGCACAAAAATTTAGTACTCTAGCTGTAAAACTTCTGGATGTGCAAACTGTCGAAGTTTAGTGTTTTTCTTTTTCGTTAGAATCTCCAATATCAAAATTAGATAATAAAACCCTATAGGATTTTATATCAAACTGTTTCATTTGAAAGCGCCTGGAATTAAGCGGCGTTTCTTTAAAAAAAAGTAGTCATGAATAATCCTGTAGAGATGAATATATTTTTAAGGCAGGAGCTTGGTGTCGGCGTCCATTTTTGTAAGTAACTTTTTTACATATGTGTAATATTTGTGTTATCGACTGAGCAGATCAAAAATGTGCACTGTATGTCTGGTATATCTATATCGTAAGCAAAGTCCAGAGAGATTGATAAAACCACAGGAAACCGACAGTTTTGGCAAAAATCATAATACCTCTGAACATTGTGTATCATTATTATTAACTACAATAGTAGTATGTTTATGAAAGAAATAGGATGATATTACTACTTCCGAGATCTGTAAATTAAGTGATGAGACTGATTTTTTATTTTTTTCTTATTCAATTTTATATTGTCACCCCCAAAATAACTTTCTTCTGAAGCCACACAACGATGGAGACGGTTCTTCCACTCCTCATAGCAGTGATGGCACTCCTATACTGGAATAACCATCTGTCGATTATTTGAAGATGAAGACCTTCCTCTACAAACAACCAAATGACTCGAACGAGTTCTAACTTGTACTGAAAACAAATCACATGTTGCCCTATCTTCCCTGTAAGCCCGGCGCTTCCAGTGTTGCCAGATCGAACGTTACGTTGCCAGTCTCACTACTACCTAATTTACAGACCTCGTATATTATTGTTGAAAAGCTCTTAAGTCTTGATTATCTTCACAATGAAATGTCTAATTGCAGCTTATGCCTAAAAAAATTTACTTACCGACGGAATTATTAATCCATCGATTCTGGATCACCTGAGCTTATTTTGCACTTGAAATGTTCTATTATTTTTGGGGTAACGCTTAGATATCACTAAAAAGGAAAGGCGAGAAATGAAAAAAACGAAGATTTATAAAACAAACACAGACTCAATCTTTGCGTTAATATATTTATAGGCTCCTAACCCCGGTAATTATACGCACTGGCGCTGAAGCTTTCCTCTGCCGCGGATTGTAGAATCACACCAAATCTTCAGTGAATTTTGGAGCAGTAGCTTTCAGGTCGTACCTATTGTCACTGACAGACTTGATGTTGTGCCCGGCAGACTTATGAATACCCCAAAGCGTTTCCTAAAGTTCACTTAACCATTTAGGCGTACGACAATGACCTGTTGGTGGGTCAATAGCCAAACATGATTTTTGCGGGATTAAATTGCCTAGTCATTCACCCCATCTATAGGCCAACATGCTTAGAGGTATTTTGATATCTCAGTCAAACTGATATTCATTTTCAAATTTAGAAATATGTTCAGCACAAACTAGACCCTCTGAGAAAAAGCCAGTCGAACATGTCCATACAATTAGTCCATAGTCATTCTGTCCCTGCCCTACCGATAGTGCATCAGGAAACGTCGATACCTAACTCGGGCTGTCATGGCACTGTGGTAGCGCGGTCAGAGCATAGAAAACACTATGCTGTTGCGCGCCCGAAATACGTGTGATTCCACAACAGAACATTCATCACCGTCGGCGCTCGACGCCAGCCGCGGCCGATAGGTACGCGATTCGTCTTCCAATAATATTTTTTCAGGGCTAATGTGCAGGAAAATCTGTGCTGTGTAAAATATGTCTAAATGGTGCGTAGAATTACCAATGTTGGGAGCGTATTGTACCAGCATAAAAAAATTGAGATAAACCCTCTCCACTCCCTTACAAGCGATTTTTAATTTTTTTCGTTTTTGACCTTTTTCTCTGTCGCAACTAAACCGATTTTCAAAAACTACAAAGCTTTTGCGCCCTTGATATACTAGTAACATTGTATAAAAATTTCATTCGAATCCGACAGGTACCTTTCAAGTTATAAGCCGTTATAAAATTAGCGGACACACCGACAGACAGACCGACGTAAGTAAAAGCAGAAACATGAATGAAGCACGGATAGCTTATTATACTGTGCAAAAAAATATAAGGAAGTCACCGGAAATTCTTTCTCATGTTCGTCGACAGTGGCGGATTTAGAGGGGAGCGCCCCCCCTCCCCTAGACGTCTTGAGACCTGCTTTTGTAATCTAACACCATTGTGTTGCTTTCTGGCACATCAGGGCGACAGATGCATACTATGAGTTATAGCTATAGGAACTGAGTATTGCGATTTTTTGTATCCTTTGGTATTGCAAACGCTGTCCCTCTTCAACATCACGGACGTTTACAGCATAATTCTTACGATGTATACGTATATTCGAGTATTGTGACGTGTGACAAATCTAAGTCTAAGCAATATATTAGCTATACAGATTGCACTTAAAAAGTGATTTATGTCATGTTTCTTACTCAATAGTAATTTGAAAAGTGTGTAAAGCTTGTCCGATTTTGTTCGGGGTTTGTGTTGCAGTAGTAGTTTAATCATATTAGACGAAATTTTGTGAAATAATTCTAAATTCTGGTTTTATTGCTGCAAGTCGCTCAAGGGGGTATTCAAAACATGGACGCATAAAATGGGTACACCAATTTTTGTGGGAAAACTTTTTATTCGACAACAAGGAATGAGAAAACGTGTTTTTTGGGATTCAATCTAAATAATTGGCAGGGACGGAAAAACTCTCCTTATAAGATTTTTAAGTATTTATGAGACCTACAAAACGAGACCACACGTAAAAAGATCCGACTAATAAAAAAAAAGTTACGCCGAAAACCGAGGCAAACTGCAGTTCTTGGAACGTGTTGGTAATGCGACGACGGTTTCTCTCAGATATTTAAAATTCTTCAAATTCGTAGGATTGGTAATTCTAAATAACCACAACGAAATTGGAGTAGATTGGTCAAGTAGTTTGTGAGAATTTCTAATTGTTTATCACAAGACATCTGTTATCCCGCCATCACTACTTTTTTTTGAGCAAAAACACGTTTTCTCATTCCTTTTTGTCAAATAAAAAGTTTTCCCACAAAAATTGGTGTAACCATTTTATGCGTCCATATTTAAAATGCGCCCTTGAACAACTTGCACCAATAAAACCGAACTTTGCAATTATTTCGGGGAAATTTGCTAATATGATGACTATATGTTAGATTTAGATGAACGCCTATATTGGAAATATACATTTATGAGATTTGCTTAGCGGTGTGCCTGTAGCCTGTCCAGAAAATGCGTCGATCGATGCTCAAAGTCAATACCACACGTCCTGCATTTCTTCCCTCGTATGTTTCTATTTATGTTGCTATGTTGGAATTCGTTTAAGTCACAGAGCTTCTGCACCTCACGCGAATATGTATAGCCCTGTATTCCTGTTCTTGTTCCGTACAAACATAAATTATCAAAATAATTACGATCTAACATATATAGTTTTTTCCAAAGATTTCCAGCAATTTTACATGCGATCAACACCGATTCGAAAACTGAGAAAACATCAACTATGCCGTAAATCTAAGTGCGACAACCAAAGTCTGAAGAATAACTAACATCTATATTGAATTTCAAAAAATAATTGACTATACCTATTGATATTTTTATCACCTGCTGAAGTGCTTGATTGTGTCAGTATTTACACCAATTACTTGATCTGTTTGACGGGTAGTTCAGAGTATTAATCCTTAAGCTGCACTAGTAGACCCCGTTGCGCAATTTGTCTATAGGCAGTCTGGAGACGGTCTCAAGACACGATCTATAGATAGTCTATAGACATCCTTCTTTGTCTCGTCTAGCGTCCATACGATAATGTGAATTTTTCTGTCTTCATGTTCGTTTTTGCCATCAAAGACATTGTTTTGTGTGGAATGGCTGGGATATGTGTCGGGGTCCCTGAAAACGTCTTTTTTGGTTAACAGAGCAAGGAAGTTTTTTATGTTTTATGAAAATATCGTTTGCGCCCCCCTAGACGAAATCCTGAATCCGCCCTTGTTCGTCGATATGCTAAGATAAGGGCGAAGTCGTGTAAAAATATGAAAAGTGGTAATATATCTACAAAAAGTAATTCATATTGTTGTAAAGATCATTTTGACGTAAGAACTGAATGCAGGAACTACAATTTTTACCAAATATTCGTTTTTGTTGACCTTCTGTTACACAGATTATGTATCTTGTTTGCCGCTTGATATTTAAGGAAGATAATTCTCTAACATTAAGTCCAACAGAAACTAAGTCTTTCGTCTAAAGTACACGAGAAAGTTGTAGAAACAAACCGATAAATAACTATTCTTTCGAACTGATCAAACCGACAAGTTGACAATCAATGACAATGTGAACAAAAGCCTGCCAAATCAGACTGACCAACGAACAAAGGGTTGAATGGTCTTAAGTAGAAATGGTGATGACACGTCAATAGTGTTTTTTCGATATTTTGAATTTAGTATTTTTTATTGATCAATACTCGTAATCTTATAGCGCATAGCTCTTGTACGACCTAGGAATCATGTCAATAATTTAAGATGTATTAGGTGTATGATTTTTTTCAGCAGTCCCCTCAACCGATTCTTCCGACTCAAGCTAAGCCAGCAGTGTCATCAGTTGTAAAACAAGCTACAGTGGTAGCAACTCAAGCAGAGGAAAATGTGTTTGACATAAACTCTATGCCGATAGTGCTGTCAGATGAACTATTGACGCCCGAAAGTATAGAGAAGATGCCTATTATTATAAGTTCGGAATCTACTCAGACCTCTGAAACAACACCCCAAGAAAAAGTTGTCGTATCCGCAGCCGGCAGTACTCGACCAATCGTGAAGAAGATCATAGGTAAAATGGCCACAGCAACTACCCCATCGCTTATCAGTCAGTCTCCTAAGACGACTGTTAAGACGGCCGTGAAGCCTAGAATCTTATCAGGTGAGTTACATAGTCACATGCGAGTAGAAAACGTTATTAAGAGGTTATACTGGTGAAGTGCGCAGTAAGAGGAGCTCGGCTATACTGTGTATAGAAAAAAATCCGAGATGGTAAAATATATAAGCACACACTATTAATAGGTAAACTTTTTGGTATATGGTATTTTATATAGATTCCACTAAAATCATTCGCAAGAATTGTAGTATTGTTTCATGTTAACCATCGGTAAATGGCATTAATAGAAGCTTGCTTTTTCCACGGTGTCTTAAGAATGTCCGCATGTTTCCACGCCTAAGCTACGTAGTCGGTTATCTTCCCCAACAAAGAAATTAATGATGATGGATCCCTCGAGTACTAAGAATTCCGTAAACTCACTCCATTCCCCGGAATGTCCTGTTGGAGGGTGGACTCGGAGGAACAACTTCGATGATAAAATTTGTTTCACCAACATCTACGGGATTAACAGCAACATTGATGCTGTTCATCACTATCTGCAATCTAATCGTCCCGTAATGCTTAGTGGAGACAAAAATCTCAGATTCTGCATCGATTAATCATCGTAGCTTCTCAAATTACTCCAATCTGAGTGGCGGGGTTATGGCTTTTATCCGCAGTAGTCTTTCCTGATCCAGAGAGGTTTCTTTGGCATCAGAACCGAAGTACATTCTGAGAGCCTCGCCTCAACCGTTTCTCTGAAATTTTTACACAATGTTACTACTCGTACAATGCCAAGGACGCAAAAGCTTTGAAGATTTTGATAATCAATCCAGTGGCGGCAGAGATAATTTTTTTATGTTCATACATTTATACGCTCCCAACATTGTTAATTCTACGCACCTATTAGACATATTTCACACATCTTAGATTTCTCTGTACATTAGCCCTGAAAAAATTCTCGACAAACGGAGCACGTGCCTACCGGCCGCAGCTGCTGCGGGCGCCGTGCGCCGACCGTCACAACTGTTCTGTTATAGTATCACCCGTATGTTTACCGCGCAACAGCATAGTGTTTTCTGTGCTCTGGCGGCGCTATCGCGCTGTCACGTCTGCCTGAGTTAGGTATCGGGGAGAGGCGACATTTCCTGATGCACTACCGGTAGAGCAGGAAAAGAATGTCTATGGACTAATTGTATGGACCTGTTTGACTGACTTTTTATTAAATGAAAGAATAGATCTTTGTGATCAGGGACGGTCAGATTTACGATAAGGACAAATATATGTGATTGAATACCTCTATGTTGTTTTGAGCTATTTTTTCCCAACTTTCAGTTATATGATATATATATATATATATATATATATATATATATGTGTGTGTAGCCTAAATTACAATTCAAAGCGGCTTTGAATTTTGAAATCAAACTTAATTTGATGATTGTTTCCAAGAAACGATACCTTTTACTTAGTATGTTTAAAAGTCTTATTCTGAACTCAAGATGTGGCATGGGAGAAGTGTTTTGTACGTTTTGCGTGTATTAAAATTTGTTCAAAAATAAAATTAAACATCGACAAAATAGTTTTTCAATTTAACATTGATAAAAGGCAATTCTTGAAAATGCAAATAAAAGGCACTTGAGTTACAAAACTATTTCTAACTAACATTGTAACCATAACTATTTCGTAAATCACAATCACATCTTTGCCTTGAACACACTGTTCAATTTTCAGTTTGTTAATAATAACATTGCTCAATGTAGTAGTAGTAGATATTTATTTACTCCGCTATATAACAATAACAAGATAGAAAAGGTAAATGAACATGTTTCTATCCACAGAAAGACAATTCCTGTACATGGGTCAGTTGCATGTTGGAATGTGTGACATTACAAAAACAAAACAAAAAATTTAAAAAAGTCAAGAAAAATCTATATCAAAAAGGTGTGTATGTAGTCGATGATAACTTTTAATGAATATTTGATAGGACTTCAATAATATGTTGTCTTCATATTGAGCGTATTCGTCTTTTTAAAATTATATGTATTAAGTACGTGTTCATATAACTTTGGAGCTAAATAGAAGAAAGATCGCTTTATTGTGGTCTTATGCGGTTTAGGGGCAGTTTTTGCACGTAATATAGATTGAGTATATAATATCAAATAATTTTGTTTCGTTTTTTAAATCAGCTGTTCAATAAAATAATTTTGGTTTTCGAAGCATAGTTTTTAAAAGTTTCCTCTGGAAAACTTCTATATCGTTTAAATGCGTTGGACATAATGTACCCACGCTAATTTGCCATACAAAGGCATGATATGCTATATACAAATATATTTGTATATAGCACGCATATAATTTTCTGTCAATATGCCTGTGACGAATTTAATTTTGTATGTAACAAATCTTATTTTCTTCAAAATGTAGGCTGAATGATCGTTGGTCTAAAAAAATTCTTGAATATTTCAATTGTCAATTTTGTAAAATTTGTATTGTTTATTTTCAAGGAATGATTTGAATAATCGGGTATATGTCTTGCGTATGATATGAAGGGTAGAAAATGCGTTTTTCTAAAGTTGTGGTTAATTTTCCAGAGTTGTGAAAATGAATGATTTTACAAAAGTCATCCTCAATATAATTCTTCACATATGCTTTGCATGGTTGATAAGTTTATCAAATTGCTACCAGTTTATCTTAACGCATTTGTGTTTTATAAGTTCATTCAAACTTTCAGGCAGTTCTTCAAAAGTGTTGAAGCAAGTAAACCCAACAATGGCGGGCTTGCCTAAACCTGGCAAGTATATAATTGTCCCCCAAAACCCTGCAGTTACTGCAGCCTCCAAAGTCATTACAAAAAAGTCACCGCTAAAAAAGACTACCAACCCACTTCCTACCGCATTGGCTGCTGAAACCACCGGTAACAAGATAATGATAGTCACCAATCAGCAAGGTCAACAACAACGGCTGCTGTTGACGCCTGCCCAACAAAGACTGTTGGGATGCCAAACATCAGGAGCTAAGCTGACCAAGACTTTTGTCAAGGGGAACGTGCTGCAAAAGTGCGTTTCGGCATCAACCGAGGCTACAGCACCATGTACCAGTGGAATAATAAAAAGTCAACCAGCTATGGTGAGAAAAACAAATAGACTGAAAGAACTATAAAAATACATACCGCACACTGAATAACCATGCCGTTTACTCCTTTTAAACAAATCAGAATAAAAGCGCTAAAATTGTGCGTGATGTATTCAGATTTCAAGAAATACTTGAAGTATAATATAAACCTTGAATACAAAACTCAGAAAAAAGGTATTTTGTATAAGACAACTAAATATAACCGAAACCATACATCATTTGAATTTGCTATGGAATGCCTCACCTTTGTAAGATCTATGTTTTCGCAATATGAAACGATATACCTTTAAGCAGGCAGTTTAATAATCTTCAAATCTTTTTTTATACGAGGGTTCAATTGCGATACTTGATGTTGATGACTAATGTTACGATGTATTCTTTGGGAAAAAAATGTTGCTTCGTCCCCGAAGGCCTAAAAAAGGTAAAAAACAACGGACTTTTTCAAGACTTATATTTATTATATACTCATATATATACATACATATATATATATATATATATATATATATATATATATGTACGAGCCCCTTCCCACTTCAGTTGGCCCAACTATTGAAATCTTAGTTTTTTTCTTATCAAACACACATAATAAAAATGTATCAGGGTGTTATAGGTTTAAAATATTAACAATGAATATTTTGATAATATATAGTAGAAAACACCAACTTTATCACTCCCTAATCAAATTTGCAGCATAAAAACAACACATGTTGCAATTACAGCATATCAACCTATTTTAATTTCAATGCAAAATAAGTCTATAACGCATAGGTGGCTGTGAAAAATAAAAGCCATGACAATTGCTTTTATTAATCACAGCTGACAGAATACGTTTAAAATAGTTTTGGGTAGTTAAGGTTTTCAAAATGGGTAGAGGAAAGGTTATTAGTGAGAAAATTCGGTTACAGATAATTAAATTTTTTAATTCTGGGAAATCAAACTCAGAAATTGCAACTTTGTTAGACTTATCGCGGTACAGTGTGAGAAATATTGTTAGAAGATATAACGTAACTGGTTCAGTTAATATTAAGCCACGATTTGTGAAAAAAAATAATATCACAAATGCCGACCGAAGAGCATTAAGAAGAATAATCGTGAAAAACAGGCGTGCCAATTATTTACAATTAAGTGCTCTGTGGAGTGACGCTGTTGGAAGGAGAATTTCGAGGTCCACAACTCATAGATAGGCCCACAAACTGGGATTTAGCACTTGCAAGGTAAGTTTTCTTATAAAAAAAAGTGAAGTAAAAACCCTAAAGTTGCACAACTTGTTTATAGGCCAAAGAAAAGCCACTATTAACTCCATTGCAAAAGAAAAATCGGCTTAGGTGGGCTAAAGAACATAGACAATGGACACCTCAATAATGGTGTGCAATACAGTGGAGTGAGGAGGCCCGATTCGAAGTTTGTGTTGATGACAGTCGCAGTAGAGATATTCGCAAAAAAAAATGAAGCATTCCATGTTGACTGTCTAAAGAGAAAAGTGAAATTTCCAGCATCCATTATGGTCTGGGGCAGTATGTCATCAAAAGGAGTAGGAAAACTCCATTTTATTGATGGAAATGTGGATACAAACAAATATTTGGCAATTTTAGAAGAATCGCTTTTACCAGTGATGGATGAATGTTTGACATCCGGCCAAGATTTTATGTTTCAGCAAGATGGAACAGCGTGCCATACCTCAAAAAAGGCTATAAAATGGATGGAAGAAAATAATGTACCACTTTTGAAATGGGTTTCTAGCAGCCCAGATCTGTCATCTATTGAAACTTTGTGGCACGAGATCAAAAAGGTTCTACGACAACGTACTGAGACAAAAGCTTCAAGAAATATGGGATTGTTTTACACCAAATTTTTGCCAAAACTTGGTTAACACTATGCCCCAAAGAATTTCAGCCGTAATAAAAAATAAAGGTGATTTTACCCAATGCTAATCTTTCAATTGTTGCTTTGTTAACTTCGCGCATATGTTCGCACATTGTTTATTTGTTCAGATGTTCTATTAGTTATAGGTCTAAGTGATTTCAAATATGTATTTTTTACGACTAGAGTGTATCTAAAATGTTTTTGAGCAAATAAATTGTTTTAGAAGTAAATAGTTTCATCATGTTTAGTTTATAAAGGCATATTTTGGTACAAATCTTGAAGTGGGCCAACTGAAGTGGGAAAGGGCTCATATATATATATATATATATATATATATATATATATATATATATAAGTACATGGACCCTTAGAACCCGTTTCTACATAGTTAGTACAATAAAATCTGATATCTATTTCAATAACGTGTTGAACCAAGTCTCTAGCAAGAGAATGAGTCCAAAAAGGGGCCATTTGATTGTTCCAATGTCGCTGGAAAGCCAATCAAAGAAGGTCATTTTTCTCAAAAAAACTAGTAACAATTAGAAATTTACAGAAACTGTTGAGCATTTTTTAATTATTTTGATGCTAAGTAACACAAAGCCTTTCACTTTTCGCTTTTATTACAAATTTAGCCTTATGGTTTTTCTCTTAAAAAATAAATATAACTGTAACGTTACTAAGTTTTTTATTTGTCCTTGAAGTAGATTTAAGCACTTTGGGAATAACTCGTATTCAACAGACTTTTGTACCGATTTATCGATTGACAACGGCTTGGTTTCAGTATGTCTGTATAAAAAGCTATATAACTCTTATAATATGAAACTACTTTTAGTTAAAACTCAGTTTGGGAAATAAGATTGAATTACTGTTTTTGACCGCCATTTTAAGAAAAACCACAAACAAAAAACTTTTGCATTTTACTGCATTTGAATCACCTGACTTTTTTTTCCAAATGGACTTTGGCAACAACTATAATCAAAACCTTCCTTGGAACTTTTTTAATTTAATTTTCTCCCTTTTCAGGTCAGTATTCCGAAGAGTACAAACGTAACAAGTACCATTTCTAGCATGGCAGCTACTATACAAAAAGTGGGTATAGTAACTCAACCTGAATCAAAGGGAGGCCCAAAGCGAGTACAGTTGATCAATCAGAAATTACACAGTTCAATCGCCAGGTCACCAAAGACTATGTTTTTAAAGACGCCTCACAGCCAGACTGCTAGAAAGAATCAAGGTATTAACATAGACGATGAGGGTTGTTTTGCCTGACTAGTTCCGATACAAAGTACAAGCTACAAATAATTTTCTATGACAATTTAACTCCATAACAATATCACACTGTTAAACGCAATTTTGTAGTTGAAAATTTCCCTCTAACATAATTTTTGGAATTTTTCCACTCATGCAGTGTTTCATATTGGTCAATATTTTAATCTCTGATAGTGGGTTATTAATGTTGTTCACTAATATTAATGTATTTACTCCATTTTTTTTTTAACTTCTGGCGGGGAAGGATTGTAATTGCGAATATTTTCGATACGCGGCACTAAAACCCTTAAAAGGGTAACATCATAGAAGTTTGCATCCTGTCATCAGTCCCACGTATATTCCTTTTAAGATATGAGGGAGGGTGTGGACTATTTAGCACTACCTGTGTTTTTGTGAGGACACCTCATCCGCTTTGTGCGTGAGCACGACAACCGAGCTCAGTCTCATGCGTGACTTTAAGCGGGAATGTCAACATTACGTTACAGAGCTGGCTCCTGCTCAACACAAGAGCCACACGTAAAAACTGTTGAATCAAATTACCTATTCAGTTTTCATAGAGACAAACCTATGCACGGAATCTTGTACAGGCACATAGAGGAGCATGGATTGTCTAAGCAGTTGACCTTCTCATTTTTAAGATCTAGTGGATTAAAGTCTGAGACTGAGGGATTCATAATGGCTTGCCAAGATGGTGTCTTTAATACCTTGATATATCGTAGTAAGGTTATGGGTGCGGAACTACAAAATATGTCGACAGGCGCCAGACATGCTTATGCACCTTTTGTCAGCGTGTAAACTATACGCTGGCACCGCTTACGTCTATCAGCTCTGCGAGTGCTATGTTACCATTTAAGGTACTACTACGGTGTGGATGAAACACTTGTGCTGCCCTAGGATCCTGAGGATATTGAGTCCGTTGTGGAGAACCAGAAATGCCGGACTTACTGGAATTACTCGTTTTCCACGACCGAGCTGGTGCAGGCGAATAAGCCCGACATTGTCCTCCTTGACCACGAACAAAAGGCGAGGTTCGTTATTGAATTTTCGGCTCCGACCGAAATAAACATCGTCTCGAAGGAGGAGGAAAAACGGACCAAATATCAGGAGCTCCTCAATCAGATTCGCAGGCTCTGTCCAAACCACACTGTCAGTCTGCTAGTTATGGTAATTGAATCCTTGGGTGGGATGAGGAATATATTGCTTTCTGCAATTAAATCCATACCGATATGCCGAGCATCGGCAAGCATCTTAGCCGGAAGAATGCAGAAAGCGGTCATTGTCGGTTCCCGTCTACTAGACCACACCAGTTGCGAACCAATTAGTTGCTTATCTCACGGTGTGAGGAGCAGCTAGCTGGTAAAGGAACAATAGCTTGGTGTGTCGGAGCCCAGGTTACCTATTTTGCTTTTATTTTCCTTTTATAATAGTAATAATAATAATAATAATAATAATAGCATTTATTACCTAACAGAACCGATCCGTTTACAAGGCAATATTGCCATTCATAATTAACTATTATAGTCAAAATCACGAAAGATGACTGATTATTTTTATTTTCATTTTATTTCATGGTTTTGAGTGATACCTTAATAATAATATTAGTGGGGAGTTTTTGTTTTGAAAAAAAAACAGTTATAAGTAGAATACCTTAAGACAGGAACACCAAAGGCCAAAGTATTTTTCGAAAACAACCTAACCTGCTTTAACATAACCTAACTATTCATCTTTCACATATGATCGATCATGCAACATGAAAACATCGTCTATCTTTGTCGGATACATGCAAATTAGCAATACAGTTTGTTTAGGCAATAAAATTCTGTTTGTCTCTGTCTAACAGGTCTGAAACTCCATTAAAAATATGATTTCGACTATAATGACAAAATCACTAAGGATACTTTTAAGATTTCTAAAAGTGCAATTAAATATATCACACAAATTACAAATTTCATTAAAGTTTGAATGGATTACTCTGGTGGTGACTTTAATAGCAAGTTCGTATTTGCACGCATACAAAAGAATAGCTTAACCTGTCGAGAACTAAATCTAGGAACATAAAAGGATATTTGGGATAACACAATGACGTCGTACCCAAACAGACCTGGAATGTTTACAAAAGTTCTTCCCCTACAACAATCACTCTATTTTGCGATGTCACCAAATAAGTTGGCCCCGCAGTCGTTTTGACATTGGCCACAACTAGCCAAATGACCTATTTCTGTTGCAGAAAGATTCATCTAGAAGAAATTTATGTATATTCTTATATACCTATAATATTTTATAGAACAAGTGAAGAATACGCGAATTTTAATACAAATCGAGGTAGAATACAAACCAAAGTATTTTATATACGGCAACGCTGCACTTGGTTGTAGTAACCTTGTAGTAGAGTGAGTCATCGCCTGTCACTTTTATTTTGTTTGAAATTCGCTTTTGTCCGTGTGTTATACGTTTGATTTTCTTGTATTTTTTAGTGTTCTTTAGACTTTTATTAAATTATGGTGAAATAAAAGTGTTTTTTGTGTAAGATTGAGGCTGGCAAAGCAGGAAGAGAAGGGATATCTTTTCACAGGTAAGGTTATGTTTACGATTCCACTCATTGGCGTGGTGTGCGTCATTTTCCCGATCCACTCCGTATTTTTTATTTTTTACATATGTAAAGAAGGTAAAAAATACTTTAGATTTTTCGACAAAACGACAGGCATACACAATAAAACAATAAGAAATCTAATAACACTTTTAGTTAATGGAACATATAGAGTGATACTCTCCAAGGTATTTGATTATCTTGGAGATCATCTTTTTGAGGACGACCCATGAGATGGTCATGAAATAACTTTGGTGAAAATAATACTCACAAAATATTTTCAGGTTAGACTTCATTACGAAGCATCCAAAAAAGTCAAACCACGGTTAGAGTAAGGAGCATTTACACTAAAACTGTTTTATTCAAACACCAATAGTTACAATCATCACAGATTAATTTTAAAATCGAAAAACGTCTTTTTGCCATACACAGATAGATGCCACACAGATAGATTATAGCCTGGAACATCACATAAACTACATTTTATCGCGAGAAAGAACTTAGAAATATCTATTTCAAGAGTTACAGCCAAAACTACTCAAATCTCAGTTGGCCACGACGAAGTGTCAACCTGACACACTCAGCTGTTCGCTCGATTTCCGCCACGGCCAATTGAGATTATTTTATGGTAAAATCCTTATATGGAGCAGATGGAACGTATCCTACTAATCATAATAGTTTAAATGCGAACAAACAGATGTGTCTTTGTTACTCAGTTACCCCAAAATGGCTGAACGGATATGGATGAATTTGGTTCAGAGATAGGTTATAGTCTGGAATAGCACATAAGTTACCTTTGATCTTTGGGAGCGGGGTAGGGTAAGAGATTGTGCTTTATTTATATCATTGGTAATGCCAGGACAATTTCCGGGAACCACACTGAAGAGTGTGGAGAGGGGGGGGGGGAGTACCGAACTTAGGCTTATGTGCATGTATGTCAATTCGTAGGAACAATTCACGGATTAAAAGTTGAAGAGCGCGGGGTGAGGGGCACGGAAGCTTGAGAAAGTGAGTATATTTTTTGTTTACTCATTTCCTATTAAGAATGTCAAGAAAATTTTATTTTGCATTAATTAATCTCCATATAAAATATTTTGTAAACCATCAAATAAACATTTTTTCAAGTAGGTATTTACTGTGTTTTATTACTTCTAAATTGGGGTCTAGTACCTACCACAAAAGGCGCACATTTTGCTATTTTTGTTTACAATCATAAAATGAAAGTTACAATGAGTAAGCACAATTAATTTTTTACATTGATGGCCGATGATTAGAAGTTTGAAGAGCGGGGTGAGGGGAGGGGGGTTGCTAACAATATCGTTCGAAAATTGTACGTATTCCGTATGATTTGGAAAAAGTAGGATATTTTTCGTCCCCATGGTTTTTGTTGGAGACACCACGACCGAAAAGAGGAACATTTTGATGTCTCCAGGCTTTTATCAGGAACAGTAGGGCAGAGTCCGAAAATGGGACGTATGATCACCTTAATAATAGTATACCTACAAGAAAGACGTTTTTTGTACCTCCAATATACTGAGAACATTATTCGCTTTTATAGCCCTTTATGGTCCACATTGTGATACGTATTTTTTTTTTTTATATATCGCGCAGGCAGAAGCCCAAATGCCGGAACACCGCGGCTGCTATGATGATCCCAAAGAAATTTTATTAATACGATTTTTGAACTGCCTAAGATTAATAGAACTGGGAAAAGCCCCCTCTTGTAGATTATTCCACAATCTCGACACCCTCGGGACAAAGGAGCGGTCGTATCGGCCGGTTCTGGATGTACGAAGTTCGACACGGTTAGGATGGGACGCCAAAGTTAGGCGGGTCTGTCTGGCACGCACATCGCGCGACGGCATCATGGAAGAGAGCTCCGAGGAGCAAAGCCCGTTGGTGTAACGGTAGAAAAGAGCCAGAACGCCGTCAGCCCGCCGATGCGAAAGAGTCCCGAGACTGTCTGAGAGAGAAGAGTCATCGATCAGTCGGACCGCCCTCTTCTGGACAGCATCGAGCATGGATAATGTAGTCGGAGGGGCAGCACCCCAAACGTGTGAGCAATACTCGAGGCTAGGCCTTATTTGGGCCTTGTATAGAATGAGAAGGTCGTGCGGAGAAAAGTACTTCTTAGCCCTAAACAGATAGCCTAGCTTTTTTCCAGCAGCTGCAGCTATTGACGAGATGTGTTCGTGCCAGATCAGGTCCTCGGTGATCTGGACTCCGACCAGCCGAAATGGATGGCTCTTTGGCAGAACTCGACCATCCATCGAAACCGGGTGAGCGCAGGGACGCTTCTTGTTCGTCAGAGTACAGTACTGCGTTTTGGAAGCATTGAACTGTACAAGATTGTTGCGTCCCCAAGCAGTGATAGCCTC